GGTGTGGAGCAGGCGCCAGGTCGGACCGTGGCGCAGCCACTGCCTCACCGAGCCACGCTTGGCGGCTATAGCGGTGAGCGGATGGAGCGATCCGTCTGGTGCATCCCCACTCCCTCGGTGGGGAGAGAGGGCGCGTGTCAGAGTCACGATACGGAGCTTTCCACCTGCTGAACGGCGGTGGCTTCTACCAGTGCATAGAGGTCCCGGTAGACTGCCCGCTCCTAGGGGTCGACAAGCTCGAGAATGCCGGGCAGAAGCACTACCGCAGCAGCGATGTTCTGGCTAGCCTGAGTGAACTGTGGGGGGTCATTCCCCTCATTTATAATGTCATGCTGGACCTGGTGGGTGCGACCTCGAGCGCCGCCGGCCAGGTCATGTGCATGGGGCGTGCCAAGCACGCCGGCACAGGCGGCGGCTGGTTCTGCCGCCATTGTCAGAGGGGGGCCCCGCACGTGGGTTCAGGGGCATGTGAGTCTGTGCAGACTCCACAACTACCGGTGGCTGCCCCGAAGCGTTCGCCATAGCGCACTCCCGGGACGGTCGGTGGCTAGGTGCCACGACGTCGCCGATGCTGGAGCCGTCGCTCTCAACTTCGTCATCCAGGAGTTCGTGGAAAGTGGTGGGAGCATAGCTCACCATTCCCACGAATTCGGATGTGAGAGGGGGCAGTGCCAACATCCTTTGGAGCCTCCGAGCGCATGCGTCCATGGGGGACGCGAGGTCATAGGGGGACCGGTCATATGGTGTTTGCGGTGCGGACAAAACAGTCCCCCGGATAATCGGCGGGAGATAGTAAATAGAGAGTAAATAACAGTATGTACATTACTCACAGCGTGGTTTGAGCAGGGAGTTTGCTCGGAATGAAGCGCAGATGCCTCGTCGTTGAAGTCGTCGTGCATCCCAGAGCCGATGGAGGGCGTCCCTCCGACGGGCGCCGGAACGAGTGCCTCCTCACGGAGGTGTAGTACACCGAGCCGGTTGGCGACAAAGTCCAAGCTTCTAAAGAGGAAGGCCTGGGATGGCTCAAAGACGGGGGGAACCCACATCCCAATAGGAGGGAGTGCGGGAAACTCCACCGAGCCGAAGCGAGTCGTATCGCTTGAGCCCGCCATGGCGAAGGTGGCGAAAAAGTGGGCCATCCGATGACCAAAAAGTATTGAACGTATAGCGTCTTCCCCATGGGCGGCGCCAACTATCGGTGTAGAAAGTGACCAACACTTAAATATTTGTAGTTTTGCCATACATTGTGATCGGAGGTGGCCTAGCACTCAATGACACAGGGTTTATACTAGTTCAGGCAACGTGCCCTACATCCTGTTTGAGTCGATCGGTGACTTTATTTCTGAGCCCAGGTGCTCAAAGTTTGCAGTGGAGTTACAAACAAGAAGGAGAAAGATGGGGGGTACAAGAGGTCCGGTCGAACTCTGGTCAGAAGGGCCAAGAGTGACGGGAGCTCCGCTATGTGCTAAGTAAACTTGATCGATCTAAATGAATCTGAATGAACTTATCTGTTGGAGAGAGCACATCCCCTTTTATAGATGAAGGGGATGGCCTTACAAGTGAGAGGGAGAGAGTACGTATGCTACTAAGTCTTGTGGCGCACGCCGACGGGTACAGGATGATGGTAGGCGCCCATAATACTGTTCAATGTCAGATGCGCGTGGGAGGTCTTGTTGTCTTCTTTGGGTACGGCAGACGTCGGCGCCTACCACGCTATTGGTACCTGGAGGCATTCAAGGGGTTTTATCATGTTCCCCTGGTACGGTAAATGCCGGTGCCGACAACACTATCGATGCCCAGAGACATGTGGGGGGAGCCTTACCGTATTTGTCTGGTATGGGATTTAATGGCGCCCACAACACTGTAGGGGAAAACGTCGGCGCCTACAATACTGCTTGAGTTCTGTCATGCTAGGAGGGTCGCAGGGTACTGCCTGGCAGGTGCATAGGGTACGGTCCCTGGTATTGCGGTTTGACTTGTGCGCCCTGCCTTACTTTCTCCGTCCATTTCCTGGTCCTTACCGAACGGGCGTCCCCGGTCGGTTGGCCCCAGTTGGCTCTGATCGCGCCAGTCAGAGAGGCTATAAGCAGGGGTTCACCGCATTCCTGGTCGGAGAAGTAGGTCGGAGTCGTAAGTGGTGTTTTGGCCAGACCTTCCGGTTAGAGAGGCCGTCCAGAGGCGGGCTGGAGACCGAAGCAAGCGCTCCGGTCAGAGAGGCGGGCCAGAGTCGGAAGCAGGCGTCGTTCCTCCTTGGCCAGGCCTTCTGGTCAGTGATTGGATCACCCTTCTGACCTGTTGTTTAGATACTTGGGCTGGGCCATGAGTTGCTCATTACTTGCAATGTTGTCCAGCTGGGCCGAGCCTTTGTTGGGAAGCCGGTCCGTGAGGGACCCCGGGTTTATGAACCCGACAAGTTTGCACCTGAATCCATTGAGTACCTTGAGGAGCACCACAATAGGATCTAGTACAGGTGTGCATTTTCAAAAAACAGCAAGTGTGACTACTTGACAAATAATGTTTCAGAGAGCTTCAATGCATAAATAAAGAAGTTCAAAGGTATGCTACTGCATGAATTAGTTGACAGAATCAGAGAGCTAATCATGGAGAAGAGATACACTAGGAAGATGCTTGCTAGGCAATGGACAGATGGAATACTCCCAAATGTGATGAAGGAGCTCAACTTGATCAGCAATAACCTCAAACTAGTCAAGGTATCAGTTAGTGATGTTGATATTGCAGAAGTGACCATCTTGGATGAGTGGAACAATCAGAAAAGACAAACAGTTGACTTGCAGAACCATAAATGCTCCTGCAGGGAGTGGCAGTCGATAGGGAAGCCCTGCAAACATGCTTTGGCATGGATCCTGTCCAACAGAGGGGTGAAAATTGAAAATTTTATCCATGAGTATTACTCAGTGGCTTGGTTTAAGGCAACCTATGATAATAGAATTGAACCTATCCCAGATAGGTCACAATGGCCTGTTGTGGAACTTGGATTCAAAGTGTATCCACCGTTGCTAGGCAGAGGAGCAAGAAGACTAAAGGTTCAAAGGCAAAGAGGTTGCTTGGATAAAGGGCATCCAAAAAGAAGGTCAAATGTAGGAGATGTGGAGATTTTGGCCACTTTTTAAAAACTTGCAAACTGGCAGAGATTGGAGAAGATGGTGAGAGAGCTCCACCAAGGAACAAGGCTAACAAAAGGTATGTTTCTGTACACTAAATCTGCCTCATTGTTTTTCACTTCACAATATGTAATGTCACCTTTAAAATGTAGGAAAGAAGCTCCAATAGATGCAGTTGGTCCCTCCCAAGCCAAGAAACAAAAAGTTCAGAAGAAGAAGGGCACACCAAAGAAGAAGAAGACACCCATCAAGAAGAAGCTCAAGAAGGCTACAGCCAACCCACCTACTACTGTTGTTAGTAGCCTTAGGAGGCTAGTCTATGAAGACCAGAGCTTGTTAGCAGCTTATGATATGCTTTTGTAATAAAAAGAGAACTTGTATGCAGCTACTGGTATGCTTTTGTAAGATCAGTAGTTGAACCTTGTTGTTTGTGTAACATTATAGTTTGATTCCTGGAACCTTGTAGTTAGAATGCTGGAACCTTGTATGGTTGTGAACCTGGTATGCTATTATGTTGATTTAAGTGGTTGTGAACCTGATATGCTGGTACGCTATGCTCAGTTCTGTATAAGTGGTGGCCAATATGGCATGCTCAGTTCTGTATATGCTGGTTCTGAATTCTAGAAAGAAAAGAAGATATCTGGCATTCAGAACACAAGATGTCACTTGATTCAACAGAACACATTTCATTTCAATTCAATTCCAGGATAACATACATACACACAGTCACACATTAGCTAACCCACACTTATATTAGCTGACTAACACACATTCTAGCTGTTCACTTCCACATAACAGCAACAACAAATACACCAATCAGGACACCTACAAAGCCAAAAAAAACTGGCGATACAACTGAACAATCAAGCACAATATGGCATTTCTTCGTGTCCAGCTTAGGCTTCGGCTTAGCAGGTTGGACCTTCACTTTCCACAGATCAGCTACAACACTATCCACAGTTTGCTTCAACTCTTGCAATTCTTTCTTCAACTCAACATAACAGTCAGCTGATGTCTCCTTACCAGTCTGCAACCGGCGTTCCTGTGCTTCCAAGGCCTCAATCTACAACTCAGAGCAGATGAAGCCGCAAGTAGTATGATCACCCTGCACACAAAAACGCATCAATCAGAGTAGCATCAAGAGACACAGTGAGGTTAACAATGTCAAGAATCCTAACCTTAATGTTGTATGGGCACGTGAGAAACCACTGATCCTTTGTCCCCGGCTGCTTGCTCTGGATTCGGACCAAAGGAACATGGCAATAAGGGCACTCCCTTCTGCCGCTGGCCGTCACGCTCGAGCCCGTCGAAGGTACCTTCATCAGCCTTCCAGTCCACTGCCCGGACATGGCTTCAAAAGCTCAGCGTAGCCACGGAGCAGAGCCTATAGACCAAGAGATGGGGCCACGGGAGGACAGCTCGAGCGCGGGCGGCAGCGGAGTTGGGTGGCGGCGACAGTTGACTCGGGCGCGGGCTCCAAGACGCTGGCGGCTAGGGTTAGGGTTCCGCCGCTGTCGCCGCGTCGGGAGGACGAGAGAGTGAGAGACAGAGTGAGCGCGAGGAGGAAGAACAGACTAAGAGATGGGGCCACGGACGCAGGGCTCTTTCAACTTCGGGACGGAGACAAATACGTCCATACAGAAAAGCAAACAGTACGCATACACTTGCCAATAGGCTCAAGCAGCTGAAAGACGTATAAAATGACAAAACTCAGTGAAATATTAAATTATAATAATAAATATCAAAATAGACGAATTTTAACAATACATCTCAAAGTTCTTGAAATTGTAATGGTGCCCATACAAATAACCCCTTGTATTTTGGGTAGAGCTTATCGGAGACTGTCTAAGTGACAACTGGAAAACGGGGCACTGACACCTAATTACAGCCCATGCCACTCTTCTTCCTCCTCTTCGTTCTTCCCTGCTCCTCCTTCGTCGGCGTGCCCTCCTCCGGCTTCGCAGCCTCCAGGACGCCGTCGCCGTCGTTGTCCTCCACGCCGGTGCCGGGCGCGGAGTAGAGCGGCAACGCGGTCGATTCGGGGGACTTCACGTGCAGCGCCCGCACATTCCGCCACTTCCTCGGTACGCACGCGGCGGCCGCCTCCACGGCGGCCACCACGTTCTCCACGGCCTCCTCCTGCGCCATCGCGCCGTGGCCCACGCGCACGGCGCGGCAAGTCCCGCCCTCCACCCGCAGCTCCACGCAACGCGCCGCCTCCCTCGCGGACTCCGCCCACGCCGGGTCCGACAGGTCCACGGGCACGGTCACGCCGCGCTTGGCGCCCGCCGCCTTGCCGCTGCCGCCGGGGACCCTGAGGCGGCGGTCGACGAGGATCAGGCCGCGCCGCGTGGCCGCGGGGAGGGATCGGAGCGCGGAGGAAGGGAGCGGGTCGATGTCGTCGGGGAGGTCGGCGGGGAAGCGGTCGGAGACAAGGGAGATGGAGGGGAACGGGGAGTGCGGGAGGCGGAGCTGGTGCTCGAAGCGCCGGACGGGAGCGCTCTTGACGGTGACGATGAGGTATATGGGCTCCGGCGCCGGGGTAGGGTGCTTCTGGAGCCATCTGAGGAGCGCGGCCACCGCACGGACCACGGCCTCGCGGCGGAGGCGGCTGGTGGGGTTGGAGGGAGTGGATGCCATTGCCATCGTTGGCGCCTTGGCGGCGGCGGCGGCGGCGGCGGCGGGAGTTTGGGAACTGATGAGATTTGAGAGGAGGGGGGTTAGGGTTTGTATCGACGCGTGCGTTCGTGTCTGGTTGAAGTGTTGGACCCGAAGTGAGTTCGGCCTGGTTGAGTCGGACCACGAAGCTGGTGGCCCGGCTTCCGCGAAAAAAGTGAGCCAGAAGGCTGGAGCTCAGCTCGGCTCGTACCAACCGAAGATCGTGCACACATTTTCAGTTATATCTAAACTAACGTGTCCAACTAGATTTAACATGAAAAATTGACTTATAATCTCTAATCCATGGATGATACTGCAGAGCCCGAAACCGAAGGTGGAGGCGTGGAGCAGCTACGGAGGCCCGCGTTGAAATGGCGTGCGATCGGTGGCGGAGCCAGGAATTAGCGGCTGGGTACGCCAAATGCATAAAATTTCGAAGCAAATAAGCAATACAATAGACGATAATTTATAATGGTCGTAACATTTAGCAAATCCATAATAATAACCAAAGTAGAAGTTCGAAATATAAATATTAAGAAATATTACAAAACAGTAACGACTACTACAATATAACTTTACGATTCCCTTGTTGGAAGAGATTGATGATATCCTCATCTTTTACTTGACTGAAGAATTCCTTCTCATTAAATGTAACCAAGCAATTATTCAAATATTCATCACCTATTTTATTCCTTTCCTTGTTCTTCACATAATTTATTGTGGAAAACACTCTTTCAACACTAGCAGTGGCTACGGGAAGAATTAGCACCAACTTAAGAAGCTTGTAAACAACATAATATTGTTTATCTTTTTGTGTGTCCACAAGCTTAACTGAAATCTCACATAGGTTCTTCAAATTTTTAAACCTTTCATCTCTACAAACATGAGAAATGTACATATTAAGCTGCCATGGAAGTTTCCCTAATTCCTCAGTTGTGAAATCCTTACGATAAAACTTTGTAGCAAGTGTAACCAACTTGGCTTGATTATAAGCAGCAAATGAATCAAGTGGGCTAAATGCTGCCATGCAAGAAAGTAGTTCTGTGTTTACCTCATCAAATCTGTCATTCAGTTCTTGAAGTTGCCTATCAATGACGCTCACAAACATGTCAACATGGAAGCGATGATAGTTCATTGCGCCATTATAGAACCCTCTTTTAGGTCTCCCAACAGGATAATAAGGACCCTCCATGTCAATAACTTTAATCTTGTACTTCACACAAAAAGAAGTGACCCTCTGAAGAAAATCATTCCATCCTTCCTCTCCCCGTAAACACTGCAAATGAAACTTTGTAAGATCAACAAGAACCATGGCATTCACAATATCTTGATCTTTCTTTTGCAAAGCCCTACTCAAGTCCTCTGTATAACCAAATATTTCTTGCATCAAGTGTGCCATGAATACAAACTCGAATGATCGAAATGATGTCAACATAGTCATAGCTGATTGGGGCTCCATTATGGTGTACTCTTTTCCAATCTTCACCAGAACACGCCTGATTGCAGGATACATAAGGATAACATGCATCACAGTTTTGTAGTGAGAGCCCCATCAAGTATCACATGGCCTTCCCAAACCCATTTCTTGATTCAAACCCCTTCCGGTTTCTACTTCCTCCAACTCTAATGCATCAATTAGTTCCTCAGCCTGAGCAATTCGAAGCATTCTCATCTTTTTACAAGAATTGCCAAGAACATTTAACAAGATAGCAAGCTGTCCAAAAAACCATGTGCAATCCCCACTCTCCTTAGCAACAGCAACAAGAGTTAATTGTAGCTGATAAGCAAAGCAATGAACATAATAAGCATATGGAGACTCATCCATAATTAGTTTCTTTAGCCCATTAGCATTACCTTTCATATTACTAGCTCCATCATATCCTTGCCCACGAACCATTGCAAAGGTCAAATTATACTTCATAAGCATAAGCTCCACTGCAGCCTTAAGTGTCATAGCACTAGTATCTTCAACATGTGCAATACCAAGAAATCTTTCAACTGCCCTTCCTTTCTTATCAACATAACGCAAGCACACAGCTAGCTGTTCATTCTGGTACACATCAACAGACTCATCCGCAAGTATTGCAAAGTTTTTACCACCAAGTTCCTCAATTAGTAGCTTAGTAGTCTCTTGTGCACAACATTTGATGAGCTCATGTTGTATATCATGGCATGTCATCTTACAGTTCTGTGGAGCATTCTTTAGAACCACCTTGTCAACCTCTTCAAAATTTTCTGCTAGCCAATTTAAAAGCTCAAGGAAATTTCCTTTGTTTAGCGAGTCTTCACTTTCATCATGCCCTCTCAATGCCAAGCCTTGGCGCAATAGAAACCTTAAACACTTGAGTGTCCATGTCAAACGAAGCTTATATAAAGCTTTGTATTGTGTGGTGTTTGAAGCAATAGACTCCCGAATTGATGTTGTTGGTGTAGTGAACCTATCATATTTCTCTTGAGCTTCAGCATGAGCACTACTGACAGTACCCATGTGTTTTTTCAATCTTGATTTCAGGTGCCAGTTTCGCCACCCATCCTTCACAAATGTATCTCCACCTGGGCATTTTGTTTTATCCTTGAACAAATAGCAAACAAAACAGAAAGCGGCATCTCTTTCTACACTATACTCAAGCCACTTATGTTGCTTAAACCAAGCTGGGCAAAAGCGACGTGGATGACCACTTATATTTCTATATTGAAAATCATGATTCTTTGGCTGACATGGACCCAACTCAATATATCTCCTTCTAACTCTATTCACGGTCATTGACATCGCATTACCTTGAGATGGGTATTCGCTTCCCAGGATCATGCTCTAGTGCTTCCAAATCTGCTCCAACTTCACCCTCTTCATCGGTTCTTTGCATCATCTTGTACAATTAGAGTTGGGGAGCCTCGTCCGATTGGGGAGCTTCATCATTTGCTTCAACAGCGGACTGTGCCACTCGCCAAGGTGCTTCATCATCATCCTATGCTTGCACAAGTGCTACCTGCAGATTGTTCTCATTCCCGAACAAGAGGAGGATTTGGTGTAGATGTGGGTTTTGTTTTTTTTGCCTTGGCAGCTTTCTCCCATAATGCAAATATGCTGCTACTACCCTTCTTCTTCATCTTGACTACAATTTACATTTTACAAAGAATTGAATGTTAGAAAATTACTAAACAAAGTAGCACTCAGCATAGCACTAGCAAGAACAAATAAATTAGAGGAGAAAATGAAATCTTTACCTAGCTGCTCATTGCAATTGTGGTGACGAATCGATGTCCGACGAAATGACGATCTTGATGCTGCTTGCTGCTTGCTTGTCACTGCCTCACCGCCTCACCGGTCATCGGCCGCCCGCGGCGCAGCCGCAGAGGAAGCGGATCGAGATGTGCCGCGACTGCCGCTTCGCTGCAATTGCGGTGTTGTGTGTTCTGCGCTATTACTATCTGGTCACCGCCTCACCGGCCGCCGCCAGGGCGCAGATGAAGCAGATCGAGATGTGTGGATGTGCCGCCCGCTGCCGCAGGACGCAACAGTCAGCAGATCGAGAATTCAAGATGCGCCGCCGCCGCTTGGGACGAGAGTTGTTGCGAAGAACGGGATTATGGGAGTCGCAACTTGTGAACGGGATGCCGACGGGACTACGGGACTACGGGAGGGATTCTGGTCGTTTGGGCTTTGGCCAAATTGGCCTGCTTGCTGCTACTTTGTTTGTGGGCTTTTGGTCCATTAGAAAATAGAATATATATATATATATATAAGTATACATGTATTTATTTTTTGTACCAAAATCTTGGGTATTTCGAGGAATACCCAAGCATACCCTTAACGCTGCCAGTGCGTGCGATGCCGCCACCATAGTGTGGCTTCATCAGCTCTAGCAAGGAGCACACACGTTCATGTTGGAATCTAAATGCATGTTTAGTAGAAGTAAGTGCCATCTGTATTTTAGTATTTGGCTAAAGAAAAAGTCGCGGCGTTCGTTTGAGAGTCTAGAAATTACATTACAAGAAATAAAAAAAACTATACCGTTGGCTTTTGTTGATGATCTAACGGCTTAGATTAAACAAAAAAGTCAATGCTAATACAATTATAAAATTAATTAGAAAAAAGAAAAGAAAAATACCCTTGAAATTTATAATGATCTACGGCTTAGACTAAATCAAAGTCTCTATGTTTAATACAATCACGAGTCAATAAGAAAATAGAAAAAAAAAATACACCATTGGACTTCGGCTTAGATTAACCAAATAGACCATGTCTAATACAACTAATAGATAATAAATTTGAAAAATAAATTAAAAACAGCAGTCCATATAGATTCCATGTAAAACACCGTTTCTAAGACAAAAAATTTAATAGAAACTATGAAGAAGTTAATGTAAATAAGAAATATCTAAATAGGTAGTCCATATAAATTATATTATTAAATATCTAAATTCAAATTTAAATTTCACAAAAAAATAGTAATTATTTCTATATGTTGCAAAAGGTACCTAAACAAAAGTTAATGTATTACTAAGTATAAAGTTATTTTATTTGAACAATCTAGATTTAGGTAGAACATAAACCAAAAGAGTGTTGAATTCAATTACCTTTCAAACTAGATTTTATCATAGTAATAGCAACCAAGGAAACCATGGGGTCATCTAAGGGGGGATTACAAGCATGCACAACAACTATCACTAATGTTTTGGCACGGTTGTGAAAAATCATTGAAGCACTTCGAATCCGCATGCCACTTCAGATGCAATATTGGCTCTAACAGACAAGCACAACATTGTGATGAACCGTGTCATATTTTAGGGCAAAAGTGACAAGGACAAATCCACAATAGAATGTACAAGGTGATAAAAAATTAAATTTAGAAGAGTGCTAAGAAATAAACAATTTGTAGAGGCTTGGACTACTCTGTGAGAGACATGGACAATGTTTTTTTTAGAATGGAGCTAAGACTGAAAGCTACCTTAATTTGGCATCTGCAAAAATTGCATAGCCACATTGT